TTGAGAGGCTGCAATTTGCTACACTTACAACGCTATTGTGACCGTTGAAGCTCCAACTAATTAGCTCTGAAATGTGGTACATCAAAACTTCAAAACCGTCTAAAATTATAAAAATGTTCGTTTTTTTTGTATTGGAAGAGACGGGGAGGGAGGAGGAGAGGAAGGGGAGGAAGGGTGGAGAGGAGTTAAGGTTTCAAAAAATATTTTACTTTACAGAAGTCCTTGATAATTGATAAAAACATAATTATGGTCCAAAAAATTAAAAGCGGTTGAGGGAAGCCAAACATTTTTCTATTTAGCATTATTGTTCATATGTTTTATAGCATGTGCAAAGCTCCGTAGGAGTTAAACATGGAGTATAAATTGCACGATGGGAAGCATAGTATCTAGCACAAGAATTATAAAAAAAAAAAACAAATGCTGAAAGTATTGCAAACAATAGAATCTCCAGTATTAAACACTGCTACACTTTTATTGCGCTTAGTCCTCATTTCATAGCATTTGGAACCAATAAAGTTGAACAAACAACAGGAAAACTTTCGGAACCCAAAGCTGTTCGGTATTCTCTATACCAAAATAGAAAACCGATTTGTGATCAAATTGTTCGGGCCCAAAACTTCAAATAAAAATCTGCTTTCAGGGGGGTCATCCAAATGCGCAAATGTGCACTCGAAACCTCTCCTATCTGATGAAAATGGACGGGTAGTGTTTTGTAGTCCCAAAACGAAATTGTGCCCTTCTGGATATACATGTCAGCTGAACAGTAAGAAAACTCAGTACATGTGCTGCACGGATGAGTCAGATCTCAATGATGAAGGTGAGTTTATCAAAGTTAGATGATTACACGTTTTTATGAACCAGAGTATTCATCCTATTTCTGTAGTTTGTCCATCTGGACGAATCCCATACCTTATCAATGGGCTTCCACAACGATGCACGTCACAACGTTGCCCCCGAGGATTTGAGTGCACTTATAAAGGGCACGATTACATATGTTGCTCTTCGGTGGGCAAGAATGGGAGACACGTGTCGCCTACGCCAACATCAGGTAAGAATTCACTATAATTGGTTTGAGAGTCTAGCATGAGAACGATCGGCTCACAGTTTTGGCACGGTAGGGAGAATGGTTGAGAAGGAAGACGAAATACTATGGAAGTATGAGGAAAATGTTTCACTGAGGTGCGCTGAGCGTTGTTTGAAAAAATATGCGGAAGAAAAGAGAAATTAGTAAAGTGGTGATTGCATCGTTTTGTTTTGCAATTAGGAGCTGGATCTTGATTGATCTGCAAACTTTCACATAGATGCGGTGCAACTTGCATCCCTTTTTTGATTTCGAACAAATCTTTTTTCAAACTCTTTTCGAGGTACTAATGATTCACTCTAAACTTGTATTTTCACTCAAGACGAATTCTTTATAATTCTAACTACACTGTAAACCTGTCTGATGGTAGTACCTATAAACTGACCCATAACTCATGCCCCTAGAGAGATTTT